TTGTAACGTGTTATTTTATTTCGACCGTTCAACGGTGAAATTTACCATCCAGACGAGAAGTCATCACTGCGAAGCGAGAGTCAAAAGGATTTATTTGGGGTTAGAACTAATGCTTTGTTTTCTTTTTTTTTTGTTATTGTATCGAGCCACATATAGGGACTTCTGCAGCTTCGGAGGTCGGGTCTCCAGGGAGCTGAGAAGGGGAAAACTCCAGAAAGTCATTATGTGGTAAAAGAGCTGCTTTTGTATTTGGATCGACTTCCCGCGTTGGAGGGATAGCCGGAGTGCAGTTCACCGGCGGCGCCACTTGTCGGAGGTGACGGGACGAAGGCGGTTATCGGCCGAGATTTGTGAGGCCATTTTGGATCTCCCCGCCTAACCGGAAGTGATGGTTTAGGCAGTGCGAGAGAAATTATCGGACTGACGTTAGACGTCCGGTAATGATACGAAATAAAGGGAAAAGGAATTGGATATTTATTCCCTATTTTGGTGACGTTGTTTTGTGGAGAGTCACACAGCTGAGTGTTTATTGGAGAATAAGTCTGGTTTGGTTGGGTTACAACCAATCAGAGCGGCTCATGGAACGGCCCTGGCCAATGGGGTTCGATTGGCGGGAAGTGTCCCGAACGCATGGGAGAAGCGTGGGTTTTAGCCTCACTTCTCGTTTGGGTGGCGAACGAGCTGTTGTTCTGTGGAGAACCTCTTGCTGGTGGAGCAATTCGTCTTGTTGTGGACACCAGCGTTTACGGGATTTGAAGTATTTGGAGAATCTTTCGCCCTGGCTCCTGGACTAGACTCGTTGGAGATTGTGGTGAGCGGAAGAAGAGTTCCAAAAATGTTATTGCGTATTTGTGTTATATCGACAACGATTAGAATTTGCTCGTTCGCTTTTTGACGATGCTTAGCGTCGGGCGAAGTGACGCCATTAGTCTTTTGATTTTCGGGGCGAGTTCTTATCGTCTGCCCGGCAGAGGTTAACCTCTTTTGTATAATTTATTTTGGACGTATGATTTTGATATTATATTGTGATTTGAGATGTTCGATTTTCTCGGGAATTCAGTGGTTTCTCTGAACGGATTTTGACTCTCGTTTCAACGGTTTGGTTGCCGATCGGATGAGGAATCGGTCAAACAAATCCTTTGGAATAATTTATTCAGTTTTGGAATTAAGTCCGAGAACTAAATTGATATTCGAAATTTTCGGTTATTACTTTGTTTTCGATATTTCAAGTTGTTGTATCATTTCGTCATCGCATCGGCAGTTGAAATTGTAGCGTCGTGTCGACGCTCGAGTTATCCGTATTTGACCTTGATTGCGGTCACCTTTTGTATTGCCTGTTCCGAGGCAATTTCAGTTGCCGCTCTCAATGTCAGTCACCTCTTCGATTTGAGATATTTTGACATTTTATTCTATCGGAAAATTAACCTCCCATTCAGTGATATTATTTGACTTTATTTTCGCTAGTCATTTCTACAGTTTGACTTTATTCATGATTTCGTAATTTTGACTGAACTTATTCTTTTGACTGACTAGTATTTTATTATTTTGACCAATCATTGGTTAGGGATTTTCTAGTGTATCGAGTCTTTAGCTTTCGTTGAATATCTGCGTTATTAATTTTCTGAGGGGTGATTTGAATTGAAATGAACAAGGGGGTTTATTGAATAAATTATTTATTCCCCGGATTATTGCATTTTTAGATAATTTGTTAGATAAGAAAACCAAGTCATTTCGGAACCTCCAGAACAACCATTTGTACCGAGAACCCAGCCGCCACCGCGGTTGTCTGAGCTGTCAGGGGTTGTTCTTTCGTCTCGAATAATTGTCGATTTAATTTGTTGTTTGAATTGCACGGTTCACCCGTGCTGGCGCCCAACTTTCTTTTCGTTGTTTGGTCGCTGAGGGCTGCGTATTTTTCACCGTCCGCAGAGGTAAGAAAATACGTCACAGTATATATATATTGCGAAAGTTAAAAATGACCCCGAGAGGTGGTCAACTTCAGAGAGCACTTTCACCCCCTAAAACCCAATATGGGCAGCTAAAAAAGAATACGTGTCCCTTAGTTTTGAGTCCCCTATAACATATTTAAGTTTCATCGAAATCGGAGGGGGCCACCTGCGTAGTGTTCCTTGTTAGTCTGTGTAGTCATTAAGTCTAGGGCCTGACAGTGGTCTTCATCAATAAGGTCGCCGTTATCGCTTCCGAACTCATCGGCTTTAATTTCAGGGGATTCGGTAATTTGATTCAATTCAGGGGTTTTCTTTGAACTGAATCGCCATTTCTCTGTCACGTCACATTGCTTGAAAATGTAGCTATGTTTGTTGACACAATGAAGATCTGTGTAATTCTTTATATTAAGATTTAATATTTCGAACGCTAAACGCGGACTGGATTTGGTCACAATTTGTCTGAGCTGATTTTCAAACTCGGGTGGCCTTTCCATACGTTTGGAAATAAATCGGGCGTGGCTGGCAAACTCTGCGAATGCCTGAGTCTTCCCGATCTTCAGATCACGTTCTTCACAAACAGGATCTGAATCTTCTTTTTTGACTCTCCACTCGTAATGAAAGGCTTTTACGAAATCTTTCCACGAATACCATGATTTCTTATTGGAAAGATACCGGCTTTATACGCACCTTCGAAAATCTTGGAAAGGCAGGGGACGAAAAGGTCGATATTTATCCCGCTCATTGAGAACACGTCTTTCAAGAGAAGGAGAAATACTCAGGATCTTTTTCTGTTGTTGGAAATTAGATTTTCTATGAATTTACTATTTCACCGATTTGGATTGGCGATGGCTGAGAATCAAATCCATTTTCCTCTCTTTGATAATAATTATTACCTCTCATGTCATTACAACGCCGCGTGCGACCACTTCTCAGAGAGTTGCTCTGGTAATACCTTTTATAATCGTCGTAACTGGAATCGCTAGCTCTCCGCAAGAGACTATCTAGAGATAGTCAGGTGACAATGTTCGATCACGACTCATCGAACTTCTAGTGCGAAGTGAAATTTTTGTCAAAGGGCTGCGACCGCGGCTTACGCTACGGGATTCCTCGCGAGTTAATCTTTGATTGTCTCGACGATTGACATTATCTAATTCGGGATTTCTAGGGATGTTTCTCATCTGCCTATATTCTTCTTCGGTCACAAAAATTTCCTCTGTGCGAAACTGACCGTCAGGCAGCGGGATTAACATTATGACTTCAAACAACGGGGGAAATTCCGCTGTATGGTTAGAATGTGCAAATGGAATCGAATTGACGTTTTCACTTGTATCATTATTTTGAAAATTCACGTGTCTCTGACTCGCGCCTACCGACGTTGTTCTATTTAGAGATCGAAATGAGTTCATCGCATTGCGGTGTCGTGCCACGATTCTAGCCGATTCGTCTGACTCGATATCGGCTTCAGAAGAATTACTCCGAGAAGATTTTCCTCCTTCACACCTCGACGTAGCGTTCGGTTCGTTTAGACGCATAAGTATTCCTGATGCGGTTGTTTGGAGGTTTGCAAGTTGATTTAGAATCTGTTGTGAATTTATTTCGGGTGGCTATTGAACTGTGGCAATAGGTTCGAGTGGGGGTGTTGTCCGCACCCTTCAACCCCTACCTCTTCCTACTGAGAGTGAGCTATCACCCGATTCCCTACTAGTATTGACTCTTTCAGGGACAAAGTTTTCGTCATTGTTATGCTTCTTATTTGACAATTGGTGTGAAGGACCCCTCTGTTCCACCCCAACTCTTGGTGGATTTCGCGCTGTTATTTTGAAATTTTAATTTAAATCCCTACGCTACGAGCAGGGCCTCTAAGAATTTCAGAAAATTTCAATCGATTCCAATTCTTAAATGTTCTGAGGAACAGAGATACTTTCACCAGAAAAGCAAAATTGTATATACAAAATTGTATAACAATTAATGCAGTTCAACACCATGAATTATTCGGAAATAAAAAATATATTTTTCTCACAATAATAAAACAATAAAATCGGCCAAATGCCAGTAAAATAATATTCGCGATTTTTACGTGTGCGGGAGGGTACTCCCGCGAGCAAAGGCTCGACACAATCCGAAATTTATTAATTCGCTGAATTTATGAAATGTTAATTTTCAGACGATAAGAAAAGAATTTTAGGAAATTGTAACTTGAACATCAATTAATTTACATTAATTCCAAAAGCAATAAAGCCAATATTTATTATTAATTATGAATCTTCGAGGACGTGGAAGACCCCAAATGCACGCGAGAATCACCCGAAGCGCGACGACGCGAAAGCCACCCGAATGAAGAGAACAAAATTCCCCAAATAACCATTTTATTTAATGAATATTTATTGAGGAATTAGACGTTATGTCACAAAGTAATTGAAATTACTAGCCCTGACCGTGATTAATCAGAAAAATACAAAAAACAAAAAATGTTGAACTCATTGAGAGCTTTGAAAAGTAATTTCAGCAAAAATTGAAAAAAGCTCACCATTTCCTCGCTATTTGCGGAGAAGGCATTCTCAAAGGCTTTGTTATTATTTTTCTTAGTTGCGCTCCCGTTGAAATGTGAAAAAAACATTGAAAATTCGATCTATATGTCGATATCTATCGATTAAAAAAATTAGTCACTAGTACGTTAATAATCACTTCTTGAACGCAAATTGGGACTGTTTGCAGCTCTACCCGGAGCAGTTAATTCTTTACAAGCTCATTCCATTAGGTCTTTCGGCCTATTCACTAAGTAATTGCGCCAGGTGTCCACTCCCTTTTCAATGGATGAGACAAGAATAGTGTGCATTTGACCATTTTTGTTCAAGGCGTTTGACAAATGGAGTGGGTAACGCCCTGCTGTCATCTGTTTCAGTTTTGCGAAAACTCCCTATTTATAGAGATTCTCCCACTCGGGTATCCTTAATAATGAAATTGATGATACGCTTTAGGATACTGAAGAAGTAGATCCAGTAGCCACCCTAGGTGAATTTTCTCTCGAAGATACACATGACCATCTTAAGGAAGTCCAGAAAGATCTGCATTGGTTACTTGACCAGTTGATGAACCTAGCATTGAATAATGACGTTGGAATGCTGATATCCCCAATGACACCAGAAATTATTGAGTCGAAACAGTGCCAGTTTTTTGAGAGTTTGATGAAGAATATCAGCGATTTAGATGTAAGAGCAGAACCAATGAATGACACCAATGATCTGTATGAACAGACAATTCAAGAGCTTGAAGACGGAGTAAGAAAAATGGAGGTCTTGGAGAAAACAGGCAAACAGGACATGGGGTATGTTAGGAAAGAAGTAATTTAGTAAGTATTTTCTTATACAATAGAATATATCAATGGTCTTTTCCAAAGAGAAATTTTATTGAATGCATCTTTCCAGTTTGGAAAATGAAAGAAAGGGCATGCAATGGATGAAACAAGCATGTATTGGAGCAATTGCGGATGTGGCCAATTCCACATATGACAGAGAAATTGCTTTGGCTAGCAGATTGTTTGCGCAAGTGAAAGAGGATTTGGTAAAGACACACCACTACAATAATAATTGTAATTAAAGGATAAATGTTGGCCATTTCAGTTATGCCACTCATCACTTTTATTTAGTAATAATTGCAAGAAAAAAATGGAACCATTTTATTCCCAAGGGTTGGAAATAGTCGAATGTTCATTTCGAATCCAACAAACCAACAACCTCGGAAGAAATCGAAATGGTATAGCACGTGATCGATGCGTGGTCTTTTTTTTCACCGTAGTAGTACAATGAATCAGACCTTCAAAAGGCGAATTAATAGTGTATTACACAACAAGTGCGGGAAGCAAGCGGTTACGCACGAGTTGCGTATACTATTTTATACCATAAGTGCGTGCGCGGCAAAAAGGGGTCGGGGGGGCAGAAGGGGGTCCAGGGGGGCGAAGCCCCCGCGGGGTGCAGGGGCGGAGCCCCCGCGGGGTGCCGGGGCGGAGCTCCTGCTGAGGGGGGGGGGGTTGGGGGCAAAGCCCCCCCCCCACTGAAAAACAAAAAATCAAAATCAAGATCAAAAATAAAAAAAAAGTTCAGACTTGGAAATTGTTTAAAATCAAATTTCTCAATTTAATTGGGTGACATTTTATAGACAGTCTTGTATTTATCAACCGATTTTTCGGGGATCAAATTATTCCTCACTTCTTCCGATTTCGAAATTTCTGGTGGAAGATTTTCATCATTCCAGTTGTTATTTTCATCATTTTCATTATCCAGACACAGCTTTTTATTTGGCGGAGAACCGACGGTTGCTTCGGTGAGGAATTTCGAATCTCCATCAAATAAATCTCCCGAGAGATCAATCTCCTCGTCACTGTCGGGTATGATGTGGTTGTCCATTTAATTTCACTGCTTTTATATTGAATAAATGAATAAATTTAACGACAGAATATTGAGAGGGTTATGTGGATACCAACAAGTGAGGCAGTGGGCGATGTTATGAGTCGATGCGCGAGTCGATGCGCAATGGATGTGTGGAATCCAACGATGATATTGCAACGACCATTTGCGCATCGATCTGCGCATCGACCCGTGCATTTGCGCATGCCCATGGGTTACGCAGGGGTTTATACAGATGTGTAGGGTTCCACAAATCTACAGTGTGAAACCCGGCACTTTCTGTGCGTCGACACTCAACTGAAACCGGCCGGATTTCACGCACGTATGGTATAAAGGGTTTTTAATGAAATTCTTGAATGTTCGAAAATGTCCTGTGAACAGCATATACAAATGGAGCGGTTCTGGGTTATTCACTAATAACCCAGACCCGCTTCAAGATGGCAGAAGTGTGAATTTAGTGTGCTCAGTGATATAAACGATTGTGTATTTAAATACAGGTGTGGCAGTCCTCGTTTATAAACACCATAGTGAAAAGTGCTATATTCATTTTGAGTTATAATCATTGACAATGGAACATGATTAATCGTATTAGCTGTTGGCTGAAAGTGAGTGGCCCTGTGAACTCAGCGTGCTCAGCGATACAGCGATTAGTGGTGTGATGCAGTCCTTTCTGGTAAAACAATATTTCTGTGAACAATGTCACCGCAGATGCCGGAATTCCTACAAGAGTCGAGAACCTGGAGGTCGAGTTAAGACCATCTCAGTAAAAAGCTAATAGAGCTGATGATTCAGCATCACTGTCTGTAAGAGAGTTCGAGGAAGGATAAGAATGAAGTAAGAATCTAATGGTGTTAGGGCTCAATGAACCCAGAGAAAGCGTACAATTCATGATAAGTCTCTTGCCCGTGAGATTATCATGCCAGTTGACAATACAATCTCTCTCGAATCCATTAGATGTTTCCGTGTCCGAAAATTCTCCCCGGCTCTTCAACACCCTCAACCCTCAAAAATATTACCGAATAATGCTGTTCTCGTCATCCAGTGCACACAAATGTTCACAAAAAATGAGTAGACAACCCTCTCCTCCCCTGGCCGAGGGGGAGGTGTGGTGAACTGAAGGTGTCCTCGGACAAGACCGTCCTGCGACGATAAGAGTGTATGAAATTGAAAGAGGAATTAGCTCAACGCCAACAAATTTCGGACATCCAGGACTGGAGGATCACATCGAGGAATGGAACACTTTGCATAGTACGCAAATGGGAGCGGCGAACGAGAGCTTCTACTCAACGAGTAACACCAGCTTCTCTAACGACCGAACAGGGTTAAACTCAACCTCATCTAAATCATTCAATCTATCAATATTTTACCAAAACACCACTAGTATCCGTAGAAAGGAACCACAGGTGGCTTTATCGTGCCGGCACTTTTAAGGCATTATCGTAAAAGTAATTAAGCTTTATTCAGCAACGTGAATGCGACAACGGTCGAGGCACAAGTGATGCATAGTACGAGTATATCTCATAGAGGCGCAACGGCGCCGTGGCGACACAGTCAGCCACACTGTCGGTAATAAGGAGACTGGCGTAGGGCGCCACATTCAACACTCCCTCCCGCCATAGACAGTATCCTTGATTCCTCTCCAGTCTTTTTCTCTCCTAATAATCTGTTCTCGTTTATCACAAAGTTTCTTATTTGGTAACTTTATCTCGCCTCAGTATTCTCGCCAGGTAATTTCGTTAGTTTAATCTCATTAGTTTTTCCATCTCGCCAGTTTTATTTTTCCAAGAAAGGTCTCGCCAATTTTATCTCTCCAAGAAGGTCTCGCCAAATTAGTTATTTCCTAGACAAACAGAAAGAAAATAATTTAAATATTTACTTTCATTATTAGGTCCATCAAACGCTTGTGTGTTTCAAACGTCAATGGTTTGGTGAAAACATCAGCTAGCTGATCCCTTGAGCCAATCCAAATGATTTTTATATAATTATTTTTAACACATTCCTTTACATAATGTAATTTGTTCTCTACAATGTGTCTCAATTTCATTCCTCCATTTGTTTCTGCACTCACAATAGCAGATTTATTATGACACCTTAAGATCATTGGAACAGGGGGATCAACCAGTATCAGTTTTAAAGAGTTGTGCAACGACATCATTTCTCGACTCGCCTCGCTCATTGCAACATACTCAGCTTCACACGTAGAAAGTGCTACTGTAGTTTGTTTGTGAGTTCGCCAAATGATCGAATCACCAAACAGTCTAATCACGAATCCACAAGTTGTGATTGAATCTTTACAATCAGACAAACTCGCATCAGAATAACCCTGAATGTCATTGGTCTCGCCTGAATATCTCAGACCCAAGCCCGTAGTACCTCTCAGATACCGAAAAATTCTTTTTACCATTTCCCAATCACTTTCTTTAGGATTTACTTGATGTCTGCTTATCACATTGGCTGCATATGCAATGTCTGGTCTCGTAGCACCAGCCAAATACAAAAGACTATCTACGGCCTCTCTATAAGGAATGTTTGCTTTTGTTTCTGTCCTTACCAAAGTCCCATTATCATATTCTGTTTCTCTTAATTTTCTCTCATTATTAGCTACTTGAGAAGTATTCATTGGTGTACGTTGTGGATGTGCTTTATCAAAGTCAAACCTACTTAATACCTTTTGAATATATTTTTCCTGATTTAATTTAATAATCTGATTTTCTCTGTCTCGCCTAATAGTCATGCTCAGGAATTCCTTGGGTTCTCCCAGGACTGTCATTTCAAATTCGCTACATAAGTTACTCTTTACTTCAGCCAATTTATCGTTATCATTACTCGCCAATAACATATCATCTACATAATGTAGCAGAAGCAAGAACTTGTCTTCATCTCGCCAAGTGAATAAACAAGGTTCTAAATCCGAGTTCTGCAGACCCATACTTAAAGCTACTTCAGTGAATTTTACATTCCACCGTTTGGGACCGATACGAAGACCATAAAGTGCTTTCTCCAATTTGCACACATTTTCTTGCCTATCTTTGTCAGTATGATTAGTTCCTTCTGGAATTTCCATGTAAATTTCTTCATCTATTACGCCATTGAGGAAAGCAGATTTAACATCTAGCTGACACACTTCTAGATTATATTTGTTTATAATTGATATAACTATTCTCACTAAAGGTAAACGAGCTACTGGAGCATAAGTTTCCTTTAATTCATAAATGTTCTTATCCTTGAAACCTCTGATTACTAGTCTCGCTTTGAATCTTATTTTACCATTTGCCTCATTTTTACACTTAAAAACCCATTCTGAATCAATGACATTTAATCTTTTTCCATTCATCATACTTAGAGGCCTTTTGACAATCTTCCATACTTGATTTCTTTCTAACGAGTTTAATTCTTCATGAACCGCGTTTAACCAATAATCTTTATTTTTACTATTTATAGCTTCTCGGTAATTTGAGGGATCTTCATTTATGCTTGATAAAAGTGCATGATACACTTCATCTTCCTTTTGTGCTAAATCTATCTCGACTACATTACTGATAACACTAGTGAAGAAAACATTTCCTTTCACGTTCTCCTCAATTTCCAACTCTGAAAAGCTATTATCATTTATTGCTTTATCTTTTATATGAACTGTCTTCACTTTCTTGGTAATGTTTTGTTCTGAAACTTCTTTCCTTGGTCTACCTCTCTTACGTTTTATCTCTCCCTCCGGTTTTGAAGAATCCTCGGTCTCACCTCGATTCTTTTCGAACTCAACAAACCATTCATCTTTATTCTCCATTTCTCCATAGTCTGGGAAATCTTTGATACCGTTTCCCTTGTATTTATCCCCATACACTAATTTTTCATTGAATTTAACATGTCTACTTTCATAATATTTTCCTAGTTCTGGCTTTAAGAGTTGATACCCTGTTGCAGTATATCCAATCAAGACCATACCTACACCTCGAGGTCCAAACTTTGGGCCAGCATTTCTAGCAATTTTTACATAACTTAAACTACCGAATCTTTTGATTTGACTAATATCAAAGCTGTGATCAGGCGCGAATCTTTCTAACGGAGTTATCATATTGTTTGATTTATGTGGAGTCCTATGGTAAGCGTAAACTGCAGCAGTTAAGCCCAGATCCCACATGCCCTTTGGCAGTCTCGAGT